AATCAGAGTAGATTAACTGTACTAATAACCCTCCCCACAGACTCAGTGGCTGAAAACAATGAGTTTACTCCTGTTTTACAATCTAATGTGATTAATTGCAAAGGGTTCGGAGAGCTGTTTCATGAGGTAAGTTTTAGGGCATCACCTAGAACATGCAGTCACACTCATCTTCATGTGACCATCACTCAGTCACATGACCATATCTAGCTGCAAAGTGGCAGGCAGTTATGATTTAGCTGTGTACTGAGAGCAAGAAAGTGTGGACACTGGACTCAGTGTTCTCTGAGTCTATAATGAGTCTCAGGAGCACTGACCATTGCACTAGTGTGTCTACATCATTTTCCAGGGCAAGTATTTGGCTTTGTGAGTGTTCTTAGGGTGTTTTCTGGAAGTCTGTGACAGTATCCAGATTGTCCATTAATATTCAAGCAGAAATGTGTCATCACCACTTCATGATTCTCATGCAAATGTCTTAATATCTTGTTTCCTCTGTCTAGTCTTGTGAATTGAGTCAATGGTAATCTCAGGTTAAATCCTCAGACTCGGATACTTCGCATTAGACCTTCTCTGGTTTGGTAGCTTCATTCATTTATCACAGTATATCCTTAGTTTATGTTGGATGCTGTTTTCTCTGTATGCAAGGTTGTGATAGTAAAAGGTTGTGTCAACTTGAGTAAGAAGTGCCCAGCTGATTGGCTTAGCATAATTCTGTGTGTTACTGAGTGATGGACTTACTTGAAGAGGGAAGACACACACACCATGGGTGTAGGTGACACCGACCACTAGGCTTGCAGCCTTTATAGAATAAAAATGGAAAGAAGATGATGAATGGCTCACTTCTGTTTCTTTGGAGGAGCTCCAGCCTTTGTCGTTGACTTGGAAGTCCAGCTCCTGGCTTCCAGCAAGGACTTCAGCCTTACTGCACAGATGCTTCAGCTTCCCGATACACACTCCAATGGGGCTCTACAGTGAGCTCCAGACCTTTAACCTTTGACAGGATCCTTTAGATTACCAGCAGGCAGGCATCCCTTTTGCACTCTTCCACACCTGACTCTACAGGCAACCACTATAAGTCCAGCTTGTAAATCCATATAGCTTATATTAAATCTGTTTCTCTAGTAAGTGCTGACTGATAGAGAGTTTTATGTGGGAGTGACTGCAGAGAAACAGAATTGTAAAGCAGCATTACAGATATGTTCCAGGAACATATCTGAAGGACAGTGGTTAAGGGAAATATTTACAATGGGGAGAAATCTTTACAGTCAGGCAGTGCACCTGGTCATACATTTTGGCCGGAAGAATACATTGCCACATGTCCGACTATTTACTGATTCATAGGCTGTAGCCAATGGCCTGGCTAGATGGTCAGGGCCTTGGAAGGAACATGTCTGGAAAATTGTTGACAAGGCTATTTGGGGATGAGGTATGTGAGTGAACCTGTCCTTGTGGGCAAAGGACATAAAGACATCTGTATCCTATGTGGATACTCACCGAAAAGTGACCTCATCAAAAGAGGACTTTAACATTCAAGTGGATAGGATGATTCATTCTGTAAATAGAAGTAAGCCTTCCACTTCAGCCATGTCTGTCCTTGCCTAATGGGCCCATGAGCAGAGTAGCCACAGTGGCAGGGATGGAAGTTATGCCTGGGCTCAGCAACATAGACTACTACACACCTAAGATGATCTGGCTGCAGCCACTGCTGAATGCCCAATATGCCAGAGGCCAGAGACCAGTGCTGAGTCCACAATATGGCACTATTCTCCGGGATGATCAGCCTGCAACTGGGTGACAAGTTTACTATATTGGACCACTTTCATCATGGAAAAGGCAGCATTTTGTCCTTACTAGCATAGACACTTATTCTGTGCACGGATTTGCTTTCCTTGCATGTAGTGCTTCTGCAAAATTTGGAAGATGCAGTTACAGTGCCAACTAGGTAGTAATAGCTTGCATGGTAAGGTCCTTAAAAGAGCTGTTTATGCTTTGAAACAGTATTCATTATATTATACTGTTCCTCTCACAGCCAAGTTCCATGGGTCCTGGAGCAAAGGAGGGAAACGGGAATGGTACCACTCATTATTAGTCCTCTTTCTTTTTGCTTCCTGTTCCTGTGAAATTATGTTGTGTTGGCCTATAAGTCTTAGTTTCAGAGAGGAGAAAACTTGTAGCAGGAAGCAAAGTAATTATTCCATTGAACTGAAAGCTAAGACTTCCCTGTGGTCATGTTGGGCCCCTCATGCCTCTGAGTAAACAAGCAAGTAAGGGAGTTAAGGATAACTGATCCAGACTCTCAAGGGGAAATTAGACCATTGCTTCATAATGGGAGAAATGAAAAATATAGTTGGAGTACAGGAGATCCCTTAGGGTACCTGCTAGTATTATCATGTCATTATTAAAGTCAATAGGAAACTACAACAAGCCAACCCACAAAGGATGACAAATGGTCCCATACCTTTAGGAATGAAGGTATAGGTCACCCCAACGAGGAAAAAACCAAGACCTTTTGAAGTGCTTCCTGAAGGTCATGGGAATACAGAATGGGTAATAGAAGGTAATTATAAATATCAGCTATGACCCTGTGACTAGTTACAGAAATGAGGACTGCAATTGTCATTCTCTCCCATTCAGTTAATATACTTCCTTTGTACCATAATGTTGAGAGACTTGATGTTGGTTCTTAAGTTTTGCTAAACCTACATTATAATAGTTAATTTATGAACTGTTAGGAGTAAGCATCGCTCGAATGAAAACTTGCCTTCTATTCTGGGGAAAGAATTGGTGCATTTCTGTTTCTCTACAGGTTAGGTATGCCATGTCAGGCATAATTATAAACTTATCTTTGTATCTGGAAACTAATTATGGTTTATGGAAATAGGTATAGGTGTTGAGTTGTTAAGGGATGGATCATGATAGTTAATTGTTGTGGACTCTTTTGCACCTGATTCTACAGGTGGCCATTGTAACCCTACTTTATAAATCCATATTACTTAGGTTAAATATGTTTTTCTAGTGATCGCTTACTGATGCAAAGTTTTTGGTGATTTGTCTAAATTTTCTCAACTATGTGAACTCAATGCACCTCCTGCTTCCTGTTATAACACTGGGTTGTAAACACGGCAAACACTGGGCATCTGAAAAGGACTCTGAGCTATCTTACCAGGACTGATTATTTTCTGGAAAGGAAAGGAAAAATTGAATCTGCCCAAAATTTTGGAGAGTGATAAATGAACTACTTGAAGTTCAGTTCATGTTGTCACTTGCCTACTTTCCTTTAGTACCTTGAGTCTCTCTATATAAAGAAAACTGATATCCACAGTGGTTGCACCAGTCTACACTCCCACCATCAGTGGAGAAAGTACCTTTCTCCCCACATCCCTGCCAGCATTTGTTATTGGTTGATTTTTATGATAGTAGCCATTCTTTCTGGGGTGAGATGGAATCTCAGTGTTGTTTTCATTTTCATCTCTCAAATGACCAGTGATGTTGAACATTTTTTCGTATGTTTATTTGATGTTTCTACTGCTTTGTCTGAGAAATATTTGTTCATTTCAGATGCCCATTTTTGGATTGAGTCTAAATTTGGGAGGTCTGATTGCTTTAAATCCTTTATATATTCAATATAGTAGATCTTTGTCTGAGGAACAGCTGGTGAAAATTTCTTCCCACATTGTGGGTTGTCTCTTCACTCTGTAAAAAAAACTGATAGACTTGTACAGTGAAGTCTGCCACAGCTTATCTAGAAAAGACCACTGATGAGAAATAGTGAATCCATCCAGCGCAGTACTGAAACAACTCACATCATCACCATCTTACAAAATGCCAAAAAGAACAATATGGGGAAAAATACACAGGATTTATAGAATATATGTGTACACTTTTAATAATTATTCTAGGTAACTGAGATATGATTTTGTTAGCTCTATGTGCAAACTGAAAGACATTGTCTTTTTTAATATGGGCAACAGAGCACAACTTCCTTTTCATCCAGCATAAATTTTATGTGATGTGTTTTAAATGTGCTCTTTAAGCATTTTCTTTCTTCTTCTCATATTTTGCTATCCAATGAGCTTCTGGGAAAACAAAATGCCTGGGGCCTATGATCAACTTTGGATATTGAAGCCCATGGCTGTTTTTTTTTAAATAGAATTTATTTCTGATCATAAAAGTACTGCATAATAATTACATACTTTTGAATCCATACTAAGGGCTAATACTGGGCTCCGTGTTTTGCATGCATTGACTGATCTTCACAATTTTCTGAGTTAAATATCATTTCCATTCAACAAAGAAAGAAAAAGAGATCTGAATAATTCCATGTCATGTTCAAGGACACAGAGCTAGAAAGTGACAGTACTAGAGTTAGAATTTGAATCTTCTGATTCTGGAGCCTGTAAATTTTACTGTCACCAAATTCTTGTCTCCATATGTGCCCATTAGAGCAAATTTAAAGAAGATAAAGTGCAATGAGGAAAACAAGAAAAATGATTGAAAATTGATAAATCGACAGGTATCCATTGTATTTGGTACAATTTCTCCAAGTCTTTTCGCCTGATTAATAGATAGTTTTTCTAATGAATACATTTTATGCATGGCTTAGTACACTGCTTTTAACATTTAACCTCTTATTTTGAGCATAGTTTCAAGTAATTAAATTTCTGTTGAAAACATTTTAATGGTAGCATGCCATTCAACTGTATCATAATTCATTTAACCAGTCTCTTATTACTGGTTATTTTTCTGCTTTCAGTTTTTGTTATTGCAAAAATTGATCACCAATAATTCTATTAATTTATTTGTCTATACTTTGACCAATAATAAAACAGTAATAGGATTACTTTTTAAAACATATACACAGTCCTTTAACACATTTTCAAATATAACATGTTCTTGATAGTATGTATTTCAATCAGCTATAATTGACTTTAATATACCTTATAATTTATTTTTTCAGTACTAATCAATACTAGGGAGAACTTTTAAATATAATCATTTTTTTCCTATGTTTCCCCATTCACAATGCAGACAAAGGCACAAGGCCTGGGATGAGGTGTATATGGGAAGACTTACTTTGCCTCCTTTTTCTATATAGTCAGGATAAAAACACTGCCTGCGGTAAGCACCAGGAGGCCTTAAATATAACCATTTAATACCAAATAGACGTGGAGGTGGAAGCCCTGCAGCACCAGGCTGCTGCTCATGACATAGCCATCTACCAACTCCAAATTGGTTTTATGTTTTGCTTTTCTTTGGCACAGGGCAGCGGAAACATTAACTAACTGACTGACCTGGTCCTGGAAGTGGATAATGCCCAGGGAGATAAAATAAGTATCCAGGGCCAGAAGATTCAAGGAACAAGTACAGACCTGACCATCAGCTCCCAAAGTGACTGAGTGAGAGACAACCATGGGAGATCACTGCAGAGAGGATGCAGGCTACACATAGAATCCATGAGAACTTTAAGCTCAAACTGGGAAGGACACAGGCCCTGCACTCCAGAAAGAGAAACCTAGACTGGTTAGTGTTGATATTAAGTCCAGTAGTCTGCTTGGACCCCTGCCACATAGCCGATATCCAGCAGAGACAACAGGACTAAATATTTTTTCCATCTATCAATGTGAGCAAGGAAATGCTTTGGTTTGTACAGTTATCATAGTCCGAGGTGAACAGACAGAGGGGTCTTTGGTAAAGAAAGGACAGCTCACAAACTCACAGTCCAAAACCTAAGAAGAGAAATATAAATACAGATCTCTATTATATGGTTAAGAGTGGTCCATTATTTGTTTTTACGGTTTGTCAATATACTGTTTGTATTTGATGCTATTATTATTACTGACTTTATTATTATAGCAAAGGTGACATAGTTGTTATTAATTGGTTTTCGCAGAATGCCAATAATTGGATTACTTTAGTGTCACTGACAATACTGCAACCCAACCCAGAGAATTGGGTACTGGGCCAAATATGTTGCAACCGCTCCTTCCAAATAAATGGAGGTGGTAGGCTTCTGGAACAGAAGAAAAGGCCAAGATGCCATGCCCAGAGGGAATTATGAAAAGTAGACATTAACTAAAGAGGTCTCCACACTAGCAATAAAGCTTTCCACTCTAAACAACCTGACATTCTTAGTACACACACACACACACACACACACACACACACACAAATAAATAAATAAATAAAAATAGAAATATGAAAAGACCAGACAACAAAATGCCTACAAAAACTCAACTCCCCCAAAGCTGGTCCATAGGATAGCGAAGGAATTAAAATCAAAAGCCAAATAGCCAAATTATTTGAAAGGATAGAAGAAGAAAAAACAAAACAATTCAAAATATCCATAAGATGCTTGGAAAGTTCTCAGAAGATTTAACTAAACAGATAATAGGCTTAATAAACAAAACAATTAACAAGTCTACAGCATAGACTGACAAAAAGCTAGCTGAGCTAAACACAATGAAAGTAAACATGAATTTCCAGCAAAGAAAAGAATTGGAGTCCATAAAAAAAGTACCAAACAGAAATGCAGGAGATTAAAAATTCTGTCTAAAGTACAGGCAGCAGAAATGCTCAGTATGAAGACATAATGTCAGAACTGGAAGACAGAGCTGTTTTCGTTGACTAATTAATGAGAGATACCATAAAAACACACAAAAAGAACAAGAGAAGTGGATCAAATACCGGCTAGATACAAAGAAGGCTAATCTAGGATTAAATGGAATTAGTGAAAATAAGAAAATAGAACAAATGGCATAAAAAGTCTATTTATTGGAAAACTAGCAGAATTTTTTTCAAATAAGAGAAAAGAACTTAGGCATATAGAACTCTATGTATTCTTGGTCAGAAAATAATCTCTCCATGACATATGGTAATCAAAATCTCAGAACTCCAACATAAGAATAGAACTCTCAAAGCTGTTAGGCAAAAGAAACAAATCTTATATAAAGGTAAATCAATTAGGATTATACCAGACTTCTTGATACAAAACTTAAAGGCCAAGATAGCATGGGGTGATGTCTTTCAAGTCCAAAAAGAAAACAATTTCCAACACTGACTGATATATCCTGCAAAATTATTTTTCAAATTTGATTTTTAAAATAAGATTATTACCATTGCGAAGAGCACCTAAAGAAATGTATGACCACCAAACCAGCACTGCAAAAAAATTTCAAGAATATCCTAGAAAGCTAACAAGGACAAAAGATCTAATAGAATGAATACACCAGGTAGGGTAAGAAGTTAAAAAGAAGGGAAAGAAAGAGAAAAATAGTGTATTAACAGGAATAAGAAGTCAATACCTATCAGTAATAACTCTCAATGTGAATGGTCTCAAATATCCTATTAAAAGACACAGATTGGGAGAATGGATGAAGAAACAAAATCCAGTAGTATGCTGTATGCAAGAAACACACTTATCCCAAAGAGAAATTCATAGACTAAAAATTAAAGCATAAAAAATAATGTTCCATACAACAGAGACCCCTTCCCCCAAAGCAGGACTAGCTATTCTATATTCAGACAAAGTGGACATCAAACCAATACTGATCAGGAAATGCAGAGATCACTACATATCCGTTAAAGCAATGATTCACGTGGAAGAGATCACAATAATTAACATAGTGCTCTGAACAACAGCATACTGAATTTCAGAAATCAAATACTACTATATGTGGACATAAAAGATCAGATAAACCACACCACCACAACTATTGTACGGGACCTCAGTAACTCATTGTCATAAATACACTGATCAATTAGACAAAAAATCAAAAGAGAAACATCAAAGTTGGGCAAAACTTTGAACCAAATGGAATTAATACATATCTAAGAAGTATTCCACCAAGCAACAGAATACACATTCTTCAAAGCAGTACATGGAACTTCCTCCAAATTAGATCACATAAATAGCCAAAATAAAGCATGCTTAAGTAGATGCAAAAGAAGTGAAATTATACCATGGATACTGTCAAATCATAGTACAATAAAACTACAGATTAATGGCAAAAGAAAACACAGAAATCATGCAAATACTTAAAAATTAAATAATACCTTATTAAAAATCAAAAGATTATACATGAAATAAAACAGTTCTTAGAACTAAATAATAATGCTGTTACAACATACCAGAATTTATGAGACACAGTGAAAGCAGTCTTCAGAGGGAAATTTATAGCTGTGAATACCCATGTCAGAAAAACAGAGCAAGTCCAATTAAGTAACCTAAGGATGCACCTTGAGGACCTAGAAAAATACAATGACTCCAAATCCCAAACTACTGCAAAGAAGGAAATTATAAAGATCAGAGCAGAAATCAATGAAATACAGACTAAAAATTACAAAGAATGAATAAACAAGCTGTTTCTTCAAAAAAAAAAAAATAGACAAACCTCTAGCCCAAAACAGGAAAGACTCAATGCAATTTGGAATGAAAAATGGTGAACTCACAAGAGACTGCCAAAATACAGATGATTATTAGCAACTACTTTGTAAACCTATATGCCAATAAATTGGAGAATTCAGAAGTAATGACTAGATTGCTAGATACATATGAATTACCAAAATTGACCCAAGAAGATGTAAAAAGTTCTGAAAATCCAGTAACAGGCAAAGAAATAAAAGCAATAATAAAAAACCTTTCAACTAAGAAAAGCCTGTGTCCAGATGGATGTACTACTGAATTCTATAAAACTTCAGGGAAGAGCTTATACCAATACTCTTCAATCTCTTTAATGAAAATAAAAGAAAAGGTATACTCCCAAATTCATTTTTGTTCTTGTTTTTTGTGGGGGTTTTTTTGGTACCGGGGATCGAACTCGGGTCCTTGCTCTTGCAAGGCAGGCCACCTAACTGCCGAGCTAAATCCCTGGCCCACAAATTCATTTTTGAAAAGTTAACAGTACCCTGATTCTAAAACCAGAAATGGAACCAATCAAAACATAGATACAAAAATCTTTAACAAATTACTTGCAAACAGAGTGGAACAGATCATCAAAAAGATCATACATTATGACCAACTAGGCTTGATTCCAGGGATGTAAGGATGATTCAACATCAGAAAGTCAATAAATAAAATCCTTCATGAAAATAGAAGCAAGGAGGAAAATCACATGATCATCTCAACAGACACAGAAAAGGCATTTGACAAAAACCTAACATCCGTTCATGATTTTTAGAAGTCCTGAAGAAAAATAGGTATAGAAGGGTAGAATCTCAATCGACTAAAAGCGATTTGAGACAAACCTACTGCCAACACCATTTTAAATGGGGAAAATCTGAAGCCTTTCCCTCTAAAATCAGGAACAAGATAAGTTAGTACTTGTTTGATGTAGAGTACTTGAAACATTAGCAGGAGCAATTAGGCAATAAAAAGTAATAAAAGATTGGCCTGGGGATTTAGCTCAGTGGCACCATGTCTGCCTCACAAGCACAAGGTCCTGAGTTCAATTCCTGGTACAAAAAATAAATAAATATAATACATAAAGGACAGAAATAATTCAAAATATTATTTTCCTATGACAAGATCCCCTGCAGAGAAGATCCCCCAAAATCTAATGACTCATAGAATGACTCATAGAATTAATAAACAGTAATATAGCAAGATATAAAATTACTGTACAAAAATCGATAGCATTCTTGAACACCAATAATGAACTCACTGAGAAAGAAATTAGGAAAAAGTACCATTCACAATAGCACCAGAAAAATTAAATACTTAGGAGTTAGCCAAACTAAGGAAGTGAAAAACCTGTGCAATAAAAACTATACTATTCTGAAAAAGAATGTTGAAGAAAATATTAGAAAATGGAAAAAATCCTCAGTTTCTGGATAGGCCAAACTAATATAGTCAAAATGAACATATTTCCAAAACTGATATACAGATTTGCCACAAACATGGAACATGAAGAAACCCAGAATAGCAAAATTAAGCCTGGGCAATAAGAGTAAAGTGAGCCGGGAGTAGTGTTACATGCTTTTAAATCCAGCACTCAGAAGACAGAGGCAGAAGGATCGCTGTGATGTTGAGGCCAGCCTGTGTTACATAGTAAGTTCAAGGAAGGCTGAACTAAATAGTGAGTCCCTGTTTCAACACATTAAAAAGAAAAAAAAAGAGTAAAGCAGAAGGCATCACAGT